CGCTTCGAGTACGGAACCCTCGATTTCAGTGCGAGTGTAACTCGCACTTGTCCAATTTTTTTTCTCATTAAATATACAACTTATTTCAATCTGCACGCTTTCAATATTACCATGCAGTTTTAACATTTTTCAATTTTCCGAATATCCCCGTGGAATATTTAGGGAATATTCCCTCAATATTACCTGGGAATACTCCCTCAACATTACCTGGGAATATTCCTTCGATTTTATCTTGGAATATTCCTGTGAGGCGGACATTTTAATATTACTTTAGAATCCCTGGAATATTCCACCGGAATATTCCCTTCACTTTAAGGTTATATTACGTGCTGCTTGGGTATCTTCTTATGAATTTCCGATTCAAATTATTTAAAATAAAAAATTTGTAATGTGAAGAGTTTCAAATTCAATTATATATTAAATTTGTAAACACAAATACCCAGAATGCTCTTATGATTTCAAAATATTTAATATTTCTCTCATACTTTTGACAAAATTTCTTAACTTTTCCCTGATTCAAACAATCAATTTTACCTTCTCCAACTTTCCCCTGAACTCCCTGACTTGTGGCAACCCTAAATGTGATAATGTTTTGTTATACTATGATATAATACATACTATTCTATTAATTTAATAGATTTTAAACAACATTTTCGAATGACACGGACGACGTTTCAAAATCTTTTAGAAAGAATTGGTCCCTTGCTTGTTAGGAAGAATATTGGACCAAGTGTTGTTCCTCCTGAAAAGCAAGTTTGCATTGCTCTCTGGACATTCTGCAATCAAGGAGTGTACAGGTACATTATTTCTATATTTCACAATTTATATGAAATTTTATGTAATTTATTAAAAAAATTAGAAAGTTTATTAAAAAGGCATACAAAATAAATTGCCATGCAAACAATTTTCTGGCTACTCTTGCCTATCGAAATTTTTTGTTACATACAAACAGGGTATATCTACTAACCGGAAACAGGGAAATCGCCAGCAAATAAATTATAATTGTAAATTAAATGGAGCTTCCACGAAATGTGTTATTTGATTTGAGTAAAATTTTGACTCAAAATTAAATCTCAACATAACCAAGGAACATTCCATCGATTTTATCTTGGACAATTTCAGTTTTTGCACAGCTATTATATCAATTATATATTAATTTTTAGAACTGCATAATTAGTATTCAATATTTTTATAATTAGTCAGATTTCAAATATTCTTAATCTGGAAAAAGCAGGAAAATGAACGGGAATTTGAAGAAGAAAATGTAATAGCTACCCTCACAAATAAAATTTTTATTCTTAATTTTTCACAGAGAAATCACTCTCGTCCTATGAAGTGTAAGGTGCTTTGTGAAGGATTCCTAATTTATATTCATAAATAATTTCCAGACAATTAAATTTCAATTCTATTTCTGAGTTGTATCCTTTCATATTTTTATTAAAGAGATGAGAACTAAATGATCATAGGAAGGTGAATTAAAAGAAAATTAAAATTCTTTCTTTTTTAAATAGCGACGTTTCGTTGGCTCAGGTTTTCCAACCTCTTCAGGCTAAAATTGATTAAACAAAACACTTTTTTAAAATGTAAAATTTTTTAATATATAAAGTTGAACAAAGTAAAAAACATTTTTAAAAAAAGGAAGAATCTGTAGTTTATCGTCATAAAAAATCTTTTGGTCATGATTTTGATTAGGCTAATGTAAAGAATTTAGATCGAGATTCTAATTATTTGAAGAGACGAGTATCTGAAATGATTCATATAAAACCTTCTAAATAACACTTCCTTTCCTTTGCTCAATCGACTGATGCCGTGACCTGAGCCAAAACGTCGCTATTTAATTTTTTAAATTAAAGAAAGAAAGAAAGAATCTTAATTTTCTTTTAATTGACCTTCCTATAATTATTTATTTCTCATCTCTTTAATTAAATTTCAAGTCAATGTTGAAAAAGTAGGCAATCTGTAATTTATTTAATAGAGATGAAGAAAAGCTCAAATCCGAGCCGAGTCGACATTTTCAAGTCGAACAAAGTAAGTAAGTTATGGAATTTTTTAAAGAAATTGATCGCTTTCGAGTACATAGAGGAATTTCAGTTTTCTAAATACTAATAAACTATTGATAAGTAAAAAATTTCAAAATTCTTTCATTATGCTGTATCAAAGTAACACTTCAATTTAATAATTATAACATGTTGAATTGATTGAGTTCGACTTGGCTGAAAAAAAGAAAAAGTTGAAATAATTCAATCGCGTTACAAGCTTTTTGCACATCTTTAGTAACTAATTTTGTATTGTATTTTACATTTCATAGATTAAAACAAAAACTAAAGAAAAAAATATATATTTAAATCAAATTTGCAATTTTATTTTATAAACCCGTGGTGTCTACCGGTCAGAAAATTTTATTCAAAATCAGGAAAATTTTTTTTCTAATTGCATGGTAATTTATTTGGTATGTTTTTGGTCACCTTTTTATTTTTAAAGAATTGATTTTTTGTTTAAAGTGCAACTTAGTCCAATTTTTGTAGCAATAGTAATATTTACCCTATCCAAAAATTAGTAGAATAAAGTAGTAGAGCTATGAGAGTTCTAGGACAGGTTCATATCTCGGCTAAGTTACCTACAGTCGGTAATGCAGATTTACCTACAGTCGGTAATGCAGATTTGCCAACTGTCGGTAATGCAGATTTACCTACAGTCGGTAATGTAGATTTGCTAACTGTCGGTAATGTAGATTTACCTAAGTCGGTAATGCAGATTTACCAAGTGTCGGTAATGCAGATTTGTCAAAGTCGATAATGCAGATTTACCAACTAATTGAAACATAACCTTAAAATTAAACTTAATCTAAATTAAAAAAAATCGGACAAGTGCGAGTTACACTCGCATTAAAACCGAGGGTTCCGTACCCTTAAACCTAAAATTTAAGGGGTTAAAGTGTGAAGGCATGTGGAAAAATTCCAATTTTGCTTAATTTTTCCTGTAATATGAGCATAAAAACACATAAATAGACACATAGTCACATATAACGAAAATTATCAGTTTTTCCTTAAAAACGCTATGATTATCAACTCCAATCATGCTCACTATATTTTTTTTGTAATCTATACGTAAAAATACGTAAGTATACCAAATATGAACTGTCTTGGTCAAATAGTGTGTGCGCTAGGTGGATTAAACGCTTTTTTTCAAAATTTTTGATTTTTCCTTGACAACGCTATGTAAATTGATCCGAATCATGTTCGCTATATTTTTCCTGTAATTTTCACGTAAAAATACATAAGTGTACCAAATTTGAGCTCTCTATGTAAAAAGATGTGGCAACCAGAGGGGGGGTACATAGTCATTTTCAGGGATTTTTCGTAAAAATTCATGGTTTTTCCTTGACAACGCTATGATAATCAATTCCTATGAGATTCGCTATATTTTTCCTGTAATCTACACGCCAAAATACATATGTATACCCTAATTTCAGCCCTCTAGATAAATTCGTGTGGCCGCTAGGGGGGGTACATGTCTTGCTTCACTAGTCTCATTAATAGGGTTCCCCCTTCGGGTACGGAACCCTAAAAACATTAAGATATAATTTTTATACATTTATTTATCATCATCAGCTATACAACAATTACATTTATTTAATCTTAAATTCTTCATGGTTGTATGGACCACCAATGTATTTCATACATAATTGGCCGGAAGTAGCAGCTTCTTGGATTGCAGTGAATAATGTTGGATCGCTAGTAAACAGTGTTACAAATCTGGATGGCAGGTAGCTGTTATATTTTTGTTCTATCTCAATGACTACCTTGCCTCCATATTTGGTGTTGACAACCTGGACCTTTGTTATCGGATACTTGTGTCCAGGAGTCAGCTCGGAAAGCGGCTTCGTAGGCAAGAAACCCTCTAGTCGACCAACTGCGTTGATTTTGGTTAGATTCATTTTTTAGAGACTGTATTGTATCAGCACACAGTAGAATAATGAGTAAATTAGTTAAAACTCCCTATATTTATACTTTATATCTCCACCATTTACCCCCACTGATATTCCACGCTTGCGCATTAAACTTTCCCCCCCACTCCTACTCTAACGCATGCGCAATTTACCCTTTCCTTGGTGCTGGCACTGGCTTTGTTTGCTTACTACTTACTGCTTACTTACTTACTTACTAAAGAATAATGAGTAAATTAGCTAAATCCATCTTTATTTGTACCCCACTCTTATTTTAACACATGCGCAGTACCCCCACTTAACCTATTACGTTGTTGTATAGTGACGTCATTATTACGCAATGAAGGAAAATAAATAAACGATTTTTTATTATTATTAAATACATTTATTAACTATGCAAAAAATGTTCACAATCATTATAAAAATCTTTTAATGTAGAATTGTCTACTTCATAAGTACCCTGTGGAATATGTAGTGGTAGTACATTGGATGGTTGTAGTAACCATTCACGAAGATTATATACATTTTGTACAGCACAAATACTATAATTATGTTTATGATTTGTACATGTAATAGTAGCAGTAAACTGATCTAAAACCAGTTTTTTCAACGATGGACATTGTAAATCATCTAAATTTATTACATTCAGTGTATATTTTTCTAACCATCTTTGTTTTTCTAATCCTTTAATATAAACTATAGGTGTACCGACTAATATTTCTTTTAGTAGTGATGGTAAATCTTCATAAGGTATGTCACCATCAGTCCAATAAATACCATGATAATTATTCGTAAGCCATCGGTTCTGACACTTGTACCTTGAAGGTAATTTGCTCCAGGCATATGGTGGCTCGAATAGGAAGACCAATGGATGAGCATCTTCTTGAAGAGGTAGGATGGCTAGCTCCTTCACAACAAACTCATTGTAGGCTCTCATTAAGCATTGGATATCTACGACGTACGCCATGGTATCTGTAATAGAGAAATGACTCAAACCTCTAACAGATGCTCTTTTTATAATCTTATCCCCACCTCTCTCATTTACCCCCACCATTCATGATACTTTTTTAACAATACCGCTAATTGGTGTGTACTGAATGATACGGTCGTGAATAATTAAGCAGTAGGCAGCTGTATTGGCGGGAAAGTTATCACTTGCTTCAAATTCCAGTCGAACATCTACAGATGCTTGTTTTAGAAATTCATTTTGTTTTGAACAATCGATAACAGTCAATGGTTCATACTCTTGAAAGCTATGTTTTGCTAACAAAGGTTCAGGATCTTTTCCATAGTATGAATGTTGAAAATTACAATACATCTCATAGAGAACAGAATACTGACCCTGATTAAAATTTAAATTCAAATTACCATAAGGATAGTATTGTGAATTTAACAAAAGTTTAACATTATTTAAATTACAAGTATCAAAAAAGTTTGAATATCTTGCTCGATTTTCTTTTCGATTTGTTTGAAGACCAAGGATAACATATCGAGATTTTTCAATTTGTGTTGATGTTTTTACAGTCCATACATGTTTTTGAGTAGCAGGAATCATAGGATATTCATACAAATCCCATGATCTAAAACTCATTGTTATTGGTGAATCTTTTTCAGTGAATTTTAACAATTTAATTTTCTGTCGATCACCAACAAATAGATATGGAATCATCCATTCAACTTTATTTATTACAATTTTAAATTCTTCTCGTTCTAATCCTTGAATATTAACTATAGCATTAAGATCTGTACGAGATCTTGTTAAAATAAGTTCATGTTTTGCATTTACAACAATCTTTCGATAGTCTTCAGCAAATCCAAGAATCATATTTAGCGGTACATTTACATCAAAATATCCATGATCATTAGTTACTCTACTAGCATCATCATAGTCAATATAACCAGCATTCTCAGCATAAATCATTTGATTAGGTGTTTGAGAAATTAAAGACTTCATAGTTGTTGTTAGACCAACATTTTTACAACGATCAATCTCTACTCCATTAAGTTCATATCGAATATCACTAAACAGGTAACAAATGCCATTACTAATTAGCTTTGTATTAGTCACATCAGTATTGTCAGTTTTTGTTAATCTTCCCTGTACGTGTAAGGTACTTTTAGAGGGAAGAATGTATAAATCTTGATGTTGAACCCATTATGTTGACTTGATATGTAATCGAATTGTTATAGATTCACCTCGAAAATTTATCAAATCTCCGTCTTGATCAACAATACGTAGTTGAATATTATGTATTATCTTTACGGCGATCGGAAGATAAGTGATGTGAGATGGTACTTCCACGATCTTATATCCAGCAGGAACAACTGGAAAGAATTCATGAATTGTATGTACCTTTTTATTGTTAATGTATGCGCCAGTGGTAATGCTGCATTCAATTCTGATAGCATTTACCTTTAGAATTGCTACTGGCATATCAGATGTATGAGTATTATTGGCAGTTAGAGCTCGTGGAGTGAAACCCAATAATTCACCAATAGAATCCTCTTGTGTAAAATTTACATTAAGACTGCTTTTTATTTCACTACGTAAAGTATTGTTATTTGGTTTTATACTTATAATTTTTGACCCATCAGAAATGGAGTTTTGAATAAATTTTTCAATATCTTCTATTTCATAACTGCCAGGGGGTATAGTAATTACATGATTACCAATATAAAATTTATTTTTACCTTTATCTATATTTGGTATTGAATTAAACGTTAACAACTCAACTAAACCAAGCACATAATTTTTATGAGGTAATAATTCTATAGGAGGAAAATATTCAGCCTCGAGAATAGACGAATTTCCTGAGATAGTTAGAGTGAACGATTCATCCATGATGATGACTTTTGATAGACTAAATAGATATATAGATTTACCATCATTTAAATAGATTATATTTCTGAGTTATTTCCAGTTGTCCACATAAAAATTTAAGACATAAATGACCACAATTAAAGGTATCATAATCTTGATAATTTTGATGATTGTACTGTATTAAAGTATTATAGCCAAGATAATTGACAAGTTCAAATGGTGGTTGAAGATTACCAAAACTGTCAAAATATTCTGCTTTATTTTTAACTTTCTTAAATGCTACCCAATACTAGAATATATAACCCTTTGCCACGCTTTATCAGATAGTACTCTATCTGCAACGTTTCTTGCTTCAACGTTTTCTCGATTTTTTGAGTATGCAATATCGTGCTCCTTACACGCCACGTCTAGTGGGTTGATACCAGGATCACCGCGAGCAAGACGTTTTGCTGATTTTGTACCTGGTCCACAGTATTGGTAACCTGGCAAATGCAATTCAAATGGTAATTTATTTATAAGATTATTAACTAAACCTTTACCTCGAGAGCGACGATGTAAAATCATACTTTACTCTATGAAAGTTGAAAGAGGAATGACTTGAAAGCTATATAAGGGTTATATTTATACCTTTTGCGGCAGTCTACATCAGGATGCGATTCAAAGAACAACCTCACAAGCTTCCAGTCGTGAATCTGGATTCAATTGTTCAAAAACAAGAGAAGAAGTTGAAGCGTCATGGGCGCTTGTTGTCAGGAAGCATTCGAGCAATTTTCTGTGGTCCATCAAATTGTGGAAAAACAAATGTATTACTTTCTCTAATTTTACATCCCAATGGACTTACATTTGAAAACATTTATTTATACTCAAAATCATTACAACAACCAAAGTATAAGTTCTTGGAAAAAGTTGTAAGTAACGTAGATGGAGTTGAGTACTTGCCATTTAGTGATCATGAAGAAGTAATTTCTCCTAAAGATGCAAAGAAAAATTCAATATTTATATTTGATGATATTGCCTGTGAGAAACAAGACAATGTAAGGGCTTTCTTTTGTATGGGTAGGCATGTTGATGTTGATTGTTTCTATCTTTGTCAGACATATGCAAGAATTCCTAAACATCTTGTGCGAGATAATGTTAATTTATTAGTTCTCTTTCGTCAAGATGAAAAAAATTTGCGACATGTATATGATGATCATGTTAATACTGATATGACATTTAATCAGTTTCGAGAGCTATGTTCAAAATGTTGGAATTCAGACAAGTATGGTTTTGTTGTTATTGATAAAGACTCCGATTTAAATGAGGGAAGATATAGAAAAGGATTTGACAGTTTTGTAACACTATAAATATATGATCATCTCTTAAAATGATATTAGTTTTGGTTTAAACCTTGAAATATCAACATGTATCATAAAGAGAAAGAATATCTTCATCAAATTGCTAAAGCTAGTGATGCAATTAGAAAGAAGCATCGCATATTGAAATTGGGTAAAGAAGATGCTGAAAATACATTAAATGAAACTTTCAAACCTATAGTACAACCCTTGTAAAAAATTGTGAACTTGACTAATATAAAACGTGAAAATTTTAAAATTGAAAAAAAGGAAGAAGAAGATGAAGAAGATTATATAAGTGCTGATGAGAATGAAACCATTCCAGGATTTGACTATGAAAAAGTAATTGGTAAATATTTGTACTTGATAAATCATAACAGAAAGCAGTGTTTGGATACAGTATATGGAGTACGCAAACTCAGAGATGGATCTTTTATGATTGGTGATAAACCAATAAGTTTTGATAATCACTTGGTGAATATTGGAGATAAACGTTTTAATGTTACCACTGGGTTATTAGAACTTTTATTTAAAAATAAACCTGAGAAAGCATATATTAGTGAAGAAGATGAGAGAAATTATAAAGAAATTCTTATTGCTTCCAATGCACATAAAAAGAAATATAGCTCCTCTGAACCAATTCGTACAGATAAAAATTTTAAATTTATGAATTTTATATCTGGACTGTTCCCACAAAGAAGAGAACCATATGTCAGTGGTAGTTCACTGCCCAAATTTATGATTACAAACAGAAATTTTAAACCAGACTATATCTATTGGGATTGCCCGAATGAATTGGTTGACCGTCTTCGGCTTCTCATGGCATCTCAATCAGCTGGTAATCCTAGTCATAATAATGAAATAATGTCCATCATTGAAGAATTACGAGAAGCTAAAATCATATATTAAGACATGTTTCTGCAAATTTTATCCATTTCAATCATGAGCATTGATGTGTTCGGACATCCCCTCAATAGAGGAGGAACTGTAGCAGCAAAACGAGGACCACCTGGACCTCCTGGAGTTGGTTTTAAAGTAGATTCAGAAGATAATTATGACTGTGAAGGTAAAAGAATTTCTAACCTTGCAAAAGCTAAAGCAGAGGGTGATGCAGTTAATTTATTACTTACTCAACGTATGATAAAGAACGAAGTGCGACTAGTATATCAAGTTACGTCTTCACTACGATTAGATATTGACAACAGTAACATGTTGTTAAAAATTCTTGAAGCTTCTGTAACAGATAAACTTCAAAATCTAGAGAAACAAATAAATCAAAATTTTCTAGACATTGATAACAGTAATGTATTATTAAAAACTCATGAAGACTCTATAGGAGAAAAATTAAAAAATCTTGAAAGACAAATTAATCAAGATTTATCATATAAAAACGTAGAAATTATTCTAGATTATTCTAGAAAATGAAACGAAAGCTCTTGAGAAACAAAGAAAGAAAAATTTATTATATTCTGACAACGGAAATGTGCTATTAAAAACTTTAGAAGGCTCAGTATCAGAAAAATTATACAATCTTGAAAGACAAATAAATCAAGATTTATCATATAAAAACGCTGAAATTATTGGTGAACTGGACAGTCGTTTGAGAGCTCTTGAAAATGAATGACAAAAAGTTGACAGTAGTGAAAGAAATTCACACACAAGCGAGAAAGAATTGTCATCGTCGCCGCGTTGAAATGCGTGATATCGATGAGACCTGGCAAGCTGATTTAGTGGAAATGTTACCTTATTCTAAAGTAAATAAAGGTTTTAAGTACTTACTAACAGTAATAGACACATTTTCCAAGTATGCTTGGGCTATTGCTGTAAAAAGTAAAAATGGAAATGACGTCACCGATGCAATGAAGTCTATTTTTGTCAAAGGACGTATACCAAAAAACCTGCATACAGATAAAGGTAAAGAATTCTACAATTCACAGTTTAAAGCTTTAATGAAAAAGCATAAACTTAATTTATACTCAACATATAGTAATATGAAAGCATCCATTGTCGAACGATTTAATAGAACTTTGAAAAGAAAAATGTGGATGCAATTTAGTTTACGAGGAAATTACAAGTGGTATAACATAATAAATACGCTTGTTTCCAATTACAATGATACAAAACATCGAACAATTGGAATGAAGTCTAATGATGTAACTGCAGAAAAAAACATGTTTGAGAAAGGCTACACTCCCAATTGGTCAACTGAAATATTCACCATCGATAAAGTTGAATCAACTCAACCTGAGACTTATAAACTTAAGGATTACCAAGACGAGGCCATCAGTGGAGGATTTTATGAAGAGGAGCTTCTTAAAGTGAAATATTCAGATAATTATCTCGTTGAAAAAATTATCAAGACACGTGGAAACAAAGTTCTTGTGAAATGGTTAGGATTTGACAACTCTCACAATACTTGGGAAGATAAAGCAAATATATAGTTGAAAACGTTTCATTATTGATTCATTATTGATTCATTATTGATTCATTATTGATTCATTATTGATTCATTATTGATTCATTATTGATTCATTATTGATTCATTATTAAATTAAGTATAAGTTATAATTTTAAGTTATTATGTATAGATATAAGGATTTTATAATAAACAACACATGAAATTAATATAAATTTGTTTCATTTATTATTCTTACGAACTATTTACACTTCATCAGAATTTGGGATCGCATAATGACCCCACGGTAGAGTATCAGTACTCTCTGGTAACAAATACCGTTTATCATCTAGTGGACCTAAAGCTACTTTTACCTGCTTCACAGTTTCAAGATTGTGAAGCCGTGATCTTATATTATACTGCGTTCGAGTTTGAATGTCAAAATCTCGCAGACATTTTACATAATCATCAAAATGAATTGATTTTTTTACAACGCCGGCTTTAATACCTTTTGCTTTTTTAATATAATCTTTATCTTCAACACGAATGCTGTACATCTTACTCCGCAAGCCAACAAATTCAGTAACTATTTTACCATTACATTCATCTTTCATAAGGCCGAGTATTTTTTTGTTGACTTGCGGTATCCCATACACATTATTCGCGGGATAATCTGATGTATCAAACTTATCAATATCTTCTTTCATATCTTTATAAATATCTTGACATTTAACTTCATAGACTAAACTGTCTGTATCAGTATACAACAGTTTACAAGCGTTACCATATTTATTCAACATATAACTATAGTGAAAATCATAAATTAACGTTTTGGATATATCAAGCACACTTAACCCTACATATATCGGTTTGTTGAGCAGTACCTCGGTTTTAGTTAATTCAATGGCAACCAGATTTTCATCAAATATTTCCCGACTACGGAAATTTGGTCGGGATATGATATGGTAACGGCCAAACCACTGTGTAACAAGCTTTACATCAACATGTTTACGAACATTTTCCATTGTTTTGCCATACACTGCATTGTTCATGAGTTTGAACAAATTCTTTTCAAACTCGTTTTTAGCATTAGTTCGCATCATCGTGTTATAATCAATGTATGGTTTAAGCCAAGTTGATTGCTTAAACTGTAAAACACGATGTATTTTTACAAGTTTAATACCATTTGATAAAACTTGTTTTAGCGTTCTATAGTGTATGACATATTTTTTTTTCGGCAGCAAAGTAGTTAACAATATCTCTTGTTTCGACATAGGCGGCTTTGCTTTTTCTGCGCAAAATGGCATGTCTTTATGAGTATCATGAATACTTTCAGGATACTCTAAATCCACTTCCAATATGTACCCAACAGGAGAATCGTCAGGTACATTAAAATCAAAACTATCGTTGACATGATCAACCCATTTGAAACCGCCATATGGAAGCGCTTGTGCCATTGCCCAGCCATACAAATTATTGGCATCAAAGTACATTATATAGCTGGTATCTTTATTTTCGTCGAATTTATCCATATAAGGATTATTCGCTTTGGCATAACGGTTACAACATTGACTAATGCCACCTCTGATACCTGACTCAACAAACATAACCATATCAATATCGGTTATAAGTTGCAATGCTATACTCGTATACTTGAGCATGGCATCCCAAGTTAAACCGGGGGTTGTATAATAGTGTGCAGGATCTAACCCATACGCTTTAACACATTGTTCTCGAAAATTTTCAAAAACATCTGCTAGTAATAGTACATCAGTTTTCATATATAAATGGACATAGTCATAGAGATTTTTACAATCAAACTCAATCCATACGTTCTGTGCATGCTTATATTCATCATCAGAAATGCCCGCATCGTAAAGCGTACTATAAAATTTCTCTATCGGAGGTAGTTGCGTCTCATCAAGCTTGGTTTTTGAATCAAAATACTCGTAGGGGAATACACCCTTTCTAGTTAATAATTTAATTTTATCAGGATTACTCACAGTATTGGCAAAAACAGAATGTACAATTTTATATTCATCTAAATAGGATGCGAGTTTTTCAAGGGATGCTGCCATAAATCGGAATGAGTCAATAAATCTAAATTTAACCTCACTACCTTTAACATGTTTGATAAAGGAGATATATTTCTCCTTATTGATGGGAAGAAGACTTATATGACCTTCAAAACTTGTTGAAATTGCATGTATAATGAAATGTGCATCATAGCCACTTAAATTGTGAAATACTACGGGAATAGTCTGACAATATTGATAATTTAAATTACATGACTCATGGGCAGCACCCCTATATTTACCAGTAAGGTGACAATGATCACGGACTTTCTTTACATTTGCTGGTATTTTCTGATGACATATGTGACACATTACCGCTCTATTAAAGTCACTGACTTGCTGAGGAGTTAAGGTATCCATTGGTAATGGTTTTTTAAATATTTTATCAATTTTTTCAGATAATTGCCTTAATTCCTCAGAAAACCATTTAGCAGGGTCGGATTCCTGCTTCGGACAAGCAACATACTTGCATTGAGATTCGTCATAGCTACATTTTATATAATAACCAATACTTAATAACTTATGACGCTGGAATATCTTAGTTTTACTTAAATTATCTACATCATCTTCTACAGGTAGAAGTAAACTCTCACAGTCAGCGTAAATAATAAATAGAACTTTTTCCCTATTCTTATAATTTTTAAAAGTAATCATACATTTATCAGGCTTTGGCAAAATTACTTTACATTCATTCAATTTTTTACAATTTTCAGTGTGTAAATTTAATTTTTCATCTGAATGGAAATAGTGAAGACAACGGTCACATATATACTTTCTACCATTATTGTTAGACAATTGCTTTGATATGAGCCGTGAAAAATCTTTTATCTAAACGTAATGGAAATTCATAAAATTAATATCGTCACAATTTGCATTAACATCATTATTCATATTTTCATCAACATATGAATCTACTACATGCAGTAGATTTACATGCTTCCTCCTCTTTTCTACAGTTAAATGAAGCGGGTGAACTGAAAAATTACCATACTTTTTTGCTAGACCGTAGATATTTATAGATATATCATTAAGTTTTTCAAATTTCGCTATACTTTTTAATGCTACAGGAAATTCGATTCCTTTAAAATTTAACTCATTTTCAAAATTCTTATAAGTAGAAACACGGTCACTTCTAGTTAAATTTTGATGTAAAGCTGAAAAAACAGCCCATTTAAAACATTCATTGTCTCTATCATTATGTACATTAATACACGCATGTTTTATCTTGATTTTAACAGGTAAATCAATATATGAACTAGCACGTAAAGGATTATATTTATTTACATTAATTTTTAATTTACCTATAGATTGTAGATTCCAATTAGATCCTTTTGCATAAAACTCTTCAACATTTTTTAAAATTGGCTGCTTCATATTTACATCAAACCATTCCTCCAATGGGGTTGTTAGGAAAATACTGCTAGATTTTGCTGTAAACGGTATTGGAATAACTACCTCTTCTTCATTTTGCACCCTTTTGAAATAAGCTGTCAGAACGCTGTAGACAATGAGGGAACCATTTTGTTTTAAAACATCGGTAATGTGCTCTTTAAACAAAATGGATGCATCATCTAAAAACCTACTTATATCTATATGTACAATATTTATTATAACATACGTGTACAATCTACATTCAAACGCATTCTCACACATAGCCCATCGTACACGCTTAGTAATATCTAAGTCTTGTAAGCCAGCGCCCTCTACCGCATGAGATTGAAACAATACTCTATATCTCACAAAGGATTGCAGAATGTTCTCACATCGACTTTTCTCATGCGTAAAATACATATATCTTAAAATATTTGTTAAAAGTAACTCATTTCGAGAACATTCCGCAACCCATCGTACTTGGTTGGTAACTTACCGACTGTTGGTAAATCTAGTGAACGATTAACCACTACCCGTATTCTACGGTCGCGCAGAAAATATGTATAAAAGAAAGATATACTTTTAATATACATTTAAACTTTTATTGATTTAAATTATTTAATATAATTTTAATTTTAAGTTTCAATATAACCCTACGCCGATGACGACCACCGCGCCGCCTACGTTCATTGGTGGGCGGTGGGGTCGGCGATTTCGGTGGCGGGGGTGTTGGTGATCGCGATGGCGTTGGTGATCGCGGTGGCGGTAGAGGTGAAGGCCTCTGCACCCTCACCCAGGGTGGTGAATCCGGCCGATATTGATGGGCAATCGACCGGAGTGGGGACATCGGCTCTGGTGTCCCCAATTCCACCCAAGATGGCGTCTCTGGCTGATGCCAGGGTGCAGGTGACCCCGGTGGTTATTATTATTATTAAATAATTATTGTTTAAATAATTATTATTAAATAATTAATTAATACTTACATTATAGGCCGATATCACCCTCACGAGGCAGTGGAAGCAGGAGCAGTCTTCCATGCTTGACTGCACTGGTCGAAGTCTCGGTCGAATATGCTAATTAATAGCAATACACTTACCCTCGTTAATTTTCTCCCACCACGAGTGACCACTGTAATGTAGAGAAACTACAGGAGCGATTCTTGTGGAGAGTGAGTAGAACTAGAAGCGCGCTGACAGTTACGCGGGAAAATAATTTGAATTCAAAATATATTTGAAAAATTAACTTCTTAAAATTTAAATTTTTTTTTTAAATATTATATTAGTTTTGAATAATTGTAAAATTAATTTTTTTGCAAATTTTATTTCTTGAAAAAATTAAAATTTTTAATTAAGTATAACTTTGTAATTTAGAAATTTAATTATTGCAAATTTAATTTTTTGCTAAATTGTTGTATAATGATAGGTGTTATTTTAAAAAAAGGGATTTATGATTAATTTTTAGGTTAGGTTGATATTAAAGATTATTTATTTTAACATTTTAAATCTATATTTAACATTGGTAGAAAAATTTATTATTTAGCCTAATATATAGAAAAAACTTAATATTTATTAGAAAAAAATGAAAACATATAAATATGTGTATAAAAATAGAACATTTCAAATCTATATTTAACAGTTGAAGTAAAAAAATATATTATTTAGCCTAATATATAGAAAAAACTTAATATTTATTAGAAAAAAATGAAAAGATATAAATATGTGTATAAAAATTGAATATTTTCCTTAATATTTATTAAAAAGCTAAAAAAGATACTAATATATAAAAAATGAAAACTTTAATAAAACAATAAAAGTAAAAAAATAGTTTAAAAATATAAAATTAAATTCATAAAATAACACTATTTATTTTTTTTCATTTTCCTCATTGCCGACATCAAATTTTCTTTTGGAGATCCCTTTTTTCCCCTTCTTTTTAATTTTTGTGGTGGAATTAATTCAATTTTTTTTTGTTTTTCCTGTCTCCTCATCCTTATCCGTTGAATTAGGTTTAAGCCATCGATTATAATCGGCTGAACCTCCGCAACATTCTCCTTCCTTTTAATTAAAACGTTTGATATACATATATTAAACTTCTAAAGACAGCTCATAGATGTCACGTAATGGTAAAGTCATTTACTATAATGAAAATTAAATATATATATTAAGAGATATATTTAAAATAACAATATAAAAAATTTTATCTTTATATATAAAATGCAAATTATTTTTATTAAAAATTAATTTACCCTTTTTTTAGTCGCCTCAAACCAGCTTTTCACCTCACTCTTTTTATCATCTTTGGTTTCCTGCAATATACAAAAAATATTAATAAAGGTCAATTTTATTTTTACAAAATTGAATTTTTGTTAAATAAATTTTTTGCAAAATTTGGATTTTGCTAAATTAATTTTTTGTAAAATTTTGATTTCTCTAAATTGGCTTTTGCTAAACAAATATTTACAAAACTGAATTTTGCGAAAACATTTTTTTGCAAAATTTTGACAAATTTTGATTTTGCTACATAAGTATTTACAAAATTGAATTTTTGCGAAATCAATTTTTTGCAAAATTTTGCTAAATCGATTTTTTTGCAAAATTTTGACAAATTTTGATTTTGCTACATAAGTATTTACAAAATTGAATTTTTGCGAAATCAATTTTTTGCAAAATTTTGCTAAATCGATTTTTTTGCAAAATTTTGATTTTGCTAAATTGGTATGTGATAAATAAGTTTTTTGCAAAAGTCAATTTTGCAAAATTGATTTTTGTGAATACTTATTTAGCAAAAGTCAATTCAGCTTTATGCGATTTTCATTTTTGCGAATTTCATTTTTGTGAATTTCATTTTTGCGAATTTTATTTTTGCAAATTTAAATTTTACGAATTTCTTTTTTGTGAATTTGATTTTTGAAAATTTCATTTTTGCGAATTTTATTTTTGCAAATTTAAATTTTACGAATTTCATTTTTGCGAATTTTATTGAATAAGTGTATAGGGAATTTAATTTTTTGCTAAATTAATTTTTCTGAATTTATGTTTGCAATCTTGATTTTAGCATAATTTAATTAAGTGAAAATAATTTTACAACTTTGATTTATGAAAAATTATTTTCGCTTAATTCATTTTTAGTAATATTAATAAAGAGTAATTATAATTTTTTGCAAAGTAAATTATTCAACTTACTTCATTTTTTTGGACAATCTCCAATGAATTTTCTGTTTGGTCCAGATTTTTTCCAATGTTATCCTAAAAAAAATTTAAACATGAATATTATACATAAAATTGTTTGACTAAATTTGTTTAATAAAATTTACTTACTTAAAAAATTTTGAAATTTTGTATAATATTACTTTAATAAAGTTAATTTACAATAGTAATTTTACTCAATATAAAATTTTTAAATTTTCTTAATATAAAACTTTCAAAATTATTTCTCGTACTTGACTTACTCTAATCTTCATCAACTGATAAAATTTGGCTATGGTTTCAAATTACTGTAAACATGCATCACATTCTTTAAGTATAACCTTCTCTTTGAAACTAATGATCTTAAAAAAAACTCTTCAAATTTTTTAACTTTTAATTAATAAACTAGTAACAATCAGTCTATTAAAAATCAGTAACAAAAAAAATCTTATTTGTTAACAACAATATTTATTCACTTAATAGTAAAATTAGAATACCTGTTTTTCCATCACTTCCAATAAATCCTTATTTTCCATTTTTACACCATTCATTTCTTTATTTTCAAGTTTTTTAGTTTCCTACATATAAAAAATAGTATTAATATTATTAATATCTTTATACTATATGATATATAAATAAATTTAATTAACAAATTAGTAAAAAATATGCACGTACCATTTTTGCTTCTTTCCACTATCTTTTGAATTAAAGGCTCTTTTGAATGAAATTACGTCTGCTAGTGCATAAACTTGTCCAAAAAACTTAACATTATAATTACTTAAATGTTACTAATTTTTATTACATTTTAAATTTTGCCGCGTATTCAACATAATTTTATTATAAACAAATGGTGGGAATAACAAAAAACAAGTCTTATCTCTAGAGACTTTATGTTTTCATGAAAGGCGCGAAATTCAATTCAAATTCAAATGTAAAACTTTAAAATATTTTCAGCAAATTAACTTACCTTAATAAATAATCATTTAATAATAATAATAATGCTAACGATGTAAATAAAATTAGTTATAAATTTTATATTTCAAGAAACAACTATTAATAGTTTATATATATAATAGTTTTCTATAATTAATAGTTATAAATAAACAATAAAATATTGGATAATAGATTCAACTTACCTTTGTTAATAAGCAAATAATAGTGTTACATCCCGACTAATTAAACAATTTTTTTTTCTATATATATCTATATGTGTATATATGTATATATATGTGCATAATTAAATAGTTAAATTAAAATAATATCATTTAAAACATAAAGAAAAGAGTATATATATGTATATATATATATATGTGTGTGTATTCATGTGTATGTATGTATGCGTATATATATGTACATTATTTGATGAAAAGATCTATATACGATAATCCATATTATCGACCAAAAGTAGCATTACTCTTCTTCGCTGTAGTCGATGCGTTATCAACACGTAAGATAATTGACTAACGCAATTAATTATCATGAAGGCATCGGTACGACAGAATACCATATTGTCATCAAAAGTTTTAAATACAATACATAGTTAGACACATAAATATATATGCAATAATGATAATTAATGGAAAATGCAAATAATGGGTAAACATGTTTTGCACCTTTCAGAATCGTTAAAGTATGTCACAAACTGATAAACTTCGGTCGAGATAAAATAATTAATAATAAGATTTAAATAAGGTAATCATAGAAACTAAATAACCCTGTGAACTTTATATCTCTTAAACAATTAAAATTAGATTATCAACGATTGAGTCAGTTTCAAAAAGGAGTATATAAATGACAACTTGATCATTGGTAGTCGTCATATTACTCCGGTGAGTTTCTGCCCGAACAGTATCGTTGAGTCGGCCCTTCAATCGTGAAATTGTACTTTTAAATCAGCGTTAATAAAAAGAGTCTTGTTTCTTATAATTTATATAAGATCAAAGGTAATTTTCATTGAATTTTATAAGTTCATTTATTTCGATTGTCGTATAATATTATTTTATGAAAGTTACTTCCGATTATTAAGGAAACAAGTTTCTTTTTGTATTAAGGTACAGTGTCGAGAAGTAATTCTTAAATAGTATTAAATAGTCGTTGGTGCATTAGTGCTAAATAACGAACTTAATTATTGTCATCCTGCGATACTATTGTGTAAAGCCGGTTGCATTGTAACAATCCAGAACCAACTTCAACATTGTAAGTAAAAATTATATTTTAAAACATTATTGTCAAATAAATTGTTCATTTTAAAAGGGAATGTGCATAATATTATTTACAAAGGACCCTTGTTCTTATAAAGTGACACGAATCCACATAAAAATAAATATCAAGATTTACCAACTTGATAAATCAGCACTTTACCTCCCCTTTTTTGTTAATTAATAAAAACCACCCTCGCCTTAGCTCGGGACGTAACAAATAGTACTATAAAAATAAATTTAATAACTTATCAATACTAAAACACTTGTTTTAAATTCAAAATGATATCATTTTTTATGTTGTCAATGCTTCGATAAGTCACTTTAGGTGAAAGGCGCGAATTAAGTTCAAATTTAAAACCACAATAGTGCAGTATAACTAATTAATAAATTTATATTCATTAATATTTAATTGAAAAAATTTACAAATGCATATTAGATGTTTAAACAACTATTAATAATAGAATATTTTCAAATAAAATATTGATTAATTATTATTATTACAACTTATCTTCGTTAATAACAATTATGACAAATTGTTAATAATTATATTGCAAAATTAAATTGAAAAAAATATACGTAAAAATACCTTAATAAATAGCAAAAACAAATTATTATAACTTACCTTTGTTAATAACAATTATGACAAATTGTTAATAAATATATTGCAATATGATATGCATAAAATTACCTTAATAAATAGTAAAAATTAATAATTAAATTGTTATATTTTATATTTTTTAATAACAATTTACCTTTGTTAATAACAATTATGACAAATTGTTAATAAATATATTGCAATATGATATGCATAAAATTACCTTAATAAATAGTAAAAATAAATAATTAAATTGTTATATTTTATATTTTTTAATAACAATTAAATTTGTTAATAACAATTGAAGGTCGGTAAAACAGATCCCTACCTTATCGGTTGATCCAAAATTTGTAACAGGTCTCTACCTTACCGACAGTTGGCAAATCTGCATTACCGACTGTAGGTAACTTAGCCGAGATATGAACCTGTCCCAGAACTCTCATAGCTCTACTACTGAATAAATCTTTATAATAATGTGGATTTATTAAATACTATTTTATAACTTTTTAGAACAGTAGCTGATCGCTTTGGAGTGTGCAAAGATACTGCGTGGAATTGTATGCTTAGCGTCAGTCAAGTTCTCAACGCATTGTCAGGAGAGTATATTAAGTGGCCCGAAGCGAATAATTTTCACCAAGTAGCGAGAGATTTCAGCAATGCTGGTGGCTTTCCTAATGTTCTTGCTGCAGTGGATGGTTGTCACGTAGAGATCAGGGCTCCATCCACTAATCCTGGAAGTTACGTCAATCGCAAAGGGTTCCACTCTCTCCTTCTTCAAGGGATGTGTGACAGTCAAGGAAGATTCCTTGATGTTTTCGCAGGCGTTTGTGGTAGTGTCCATGATAACCGTCTCTTTGAAATGAGCCCTATGGGGCAGCAATTGCTAACAGCATCAGAAAATTTTTGTCCCGAAGAGATGCATATTCTTGGAGATGCTGCATATAAATTGCAACCGTTTCTCATGGTACCCTTCAAAGATAACGGCCATTTAACTCCATCTCAGGTTCGGTTTAATACCATTCTATCAAAAACAAGAATGAGTATAGAGCGGGCATTCGGATTATTGAAAGGTCGTTTTAGACGATTATTCTATCTGTATTTACAAAACGTCGCATACTGACCATTAATTATCATTGCCTGTTGCGTTCTTCATAATATCTGCTTGGACTTGGAAGATGACATGAATGAAGAAATACTGCATGAAATAAATAATCATGTTGCTCGAATTATTCTTAATGATGTAGATGAAGAAAATGGAGTAATTAATCCACCTGCTGTTCAAAAAAGAACGAATATCATGAATATGCTTGAGCAAGAAAGAATTGATAACCCTTAAGGAGGAACCAAATTTGCAGTAAAAACAATTTAAACACTTAAAAGTTGCCCGTGAATAGAAATTACAATTTTCTGTCATTAAGAAATATTTTTTATTTTTAGGTTATGTTACCTAAATCATTTCTTATTAACAGAAAATTGTAATTGTCATTCAATTGCAATTTTAAATTGTTAGAAAGTATATTCTAAATATCTATAATTCTATCTACAATTTATTCTATATCTATCTATAATATTCTATAAAAATATAGTATTTATAAAATGGAAAAAATTTTTAATTTCTTAACTTGAGAAACTCTACTTACTGGAATGTACTATTGTTCTTTTTTCTTTCGCTTTGTTTAATCTAGTTTTCTAACTTTTAAGATTAATAAATAAATTGTTTCGGTTTGTTATTATTTATTGCAGAACTTGAAAAATACTCACAAGTGATTTAGAGAACACAAATTTAATTTCAATAATACACATATTAAATCAGAAACTAGGGGAAATGTAAGAGGTAATTAAATTCTAAATAAAGTAATTAAATAAAGTATGGATTTTTAGAGAAATTACACGCTGCTATATAAGTGTAGAAAAAAGAAGAGCTTGATAGTTGTGTCGTCAAGAAATAGTAATAAATTCCTTTGCCTGCAAAAAGGAAATGATTAATTATTTTTTATTATTAATAAAAAAAATTTAACAAAACATTTTATGATGAAATATTTAACCCAATTATACAATTATTGCTATCAGTACCTCTTTAGTTTAGGGTGAATAAAAATTTATTTTACAATAAATTTTTGAAATTCGTTTTGCAACTTTCTTGAGAATGCTGTCCCTTACATCTTGAACATCTATCCATCGAAAAATCCCAACTTTCCAAAAATACAAGAATTAACTGCAACGCGACTTATTTATTCAAGCTTAACTTTCTACAATCTGGAAAAAATGTCTTTTTTAATGATTTTTGTAAACAAAAATAAACCTTGATAAAAAGTTTTTTTACTTTCGTAAAATGCAATGTAGTTTTTTCAGATAAAAAGAAAATATGAAAATATCCTTATTTTACCCCATCAGTTAATTTCCTTTATGTGTATTTACACTCCAAAAATCATAAACATAACCTTCAATTTCCCATTAACGAATTTACGAACTCATACATTGTTAATAATGTTTATCTTTCATTCATTGAAAATCATTGAAAATAAAAAATAATATTTAAACTTATCTCAAAATAAAAAATAGCTAAATGCAATAATTAAATACACAATCAATTGCTTAATTATAGTTATTAATTGAAATTTACATTCAATATTTATGAGCAACAACTTTTCTACACTAATGAGAAAAAATAATTAAATATTAGTTAGTTCGATTTATTACACAGCCCCACAAAAAAAAGTGTCATGTACTTTTGACCGGAATACCCTAACCCTATGTATTTTGACGCGCTGAACACGAATCCGAAGTCCGTTTTGCTCCATCACGTCAGGATTTTTTTCTAACCTCAAAAAATATGTCGGATTTTGAGAAGTAAGCGATTTTTTTAAAAATTGATGTATTAACTTCAAACTTGGTATCTGGGGGTTTTTTGTGTCGCTGATTAACTTTTATACATTGTCACTAATAACACAGGCACACAAAAAAAAAAGTTGTCTGTTTCTTGAACTACACATATATTTCCTATAGTATTTTGGCCCGCTGAAAACGAATCTGAGCTCAGAATTGCTCCATCACCCTCAGTTTTTTTTTAAATCGACCAAAACCACCCTTAAACGGACAAATTGACACTTCGGAGATAAAAAATAAATCAACTTATTTTTTAAAAAAACCAAATTTTACATCTACGAAACTTTGCTCCACTAACTCAAAAACAGAGCCAGCATTGATCCAGCACCCCCTGAATTTTTTTAATCGAAAAAACTACCCCTAATCTGAAGAATCAAATTCAGGAGATAAAACAACAAAATAACTGATTGACAAATTTTATAAGCAGATATTTTTACTCCAGCAATGCAGAAACAAAGCCAGAAATGTTCCCTCACCCTCTAAATTTTTTTTAAATCGAAAAACCACCCTTAAATAGAAAAATTCAAATTTAAGAAGTAAAAAAATATTAAATTACCGGCTTTTTTTAAAAACAGAACCTTACATGTTTGTAGTTTTGCTCTACTAATTAAAAAAAATAAAGCCAGCATTGACCCATCACCCCCTGAATTTTTTTAATCGAAAAAACTACCCCTAATCTGAAGAATCAAATTCAGGAGGTAAAACAATAAAATAGCTGATTAAAAAATTTTATAAGCAGATATTTTTACTCCAGCAATGCAGAAACAAAGCCAGAAATGCTCCCTCACCCTCTAAATTTTTTTTAAATCGAAAAAACCACCCTTAAATAGGAAAATTCAAATTTAAGAAGTAAAAAAATATTAAATTACCGGCTTTTTTTAAAAACAGAACCTTACATGTTTGTAGTTTTGCTCTACTAATTAAGAAAAATAAAGCCAGCATTGACCCATCACCCTCTGAATTTTTTTAATCGAAAAAACTACCCCTAATCTGAAGAATCAAATTCAGGAGGTAAAACAATAAAATAACTGATTAAAAAATTTTATAACCAGATATTTTTACTCCAGCAATGCAGAAACAAAGCCAGAAATGCTCCCTCACCCTCTAAAATTTTTTTAAATCGAAAAAACCACCCTTAAATAGGAAAATTCAAATTTAAGAAGTAAAAAAATATTAAATTACCGGCTTTTTTTAAAAACAGAACCTTACATGTTTGTAGTTTTGCTCTACTAATTAAAAAAAATAAAGCCAGCATTGACCCATCACCCCCTGAATTTTTTTAATCGAAAAAACTACCCCTAATCTGAAGAATCAAATTCAGGAGGTAAAACAATAAAATAACTGATTAAAAAATTTTATAAGCAGATATTTTTACTCCAGCAATGCAGAAACAAAGCCAGAAATGCTCCCTCACCCTCTAAATTTTTTTTAAATCGAAAAAACCACCCTTAAATAGGAAAATTCAAATTTAAGAAGTAAAAAAATATTAAATTACCGGCTTTTTTTAAAAACAGAACCTTACATGTTTGTAGTTTTGCTCTACTAATTTAGAAAAAAAAGCCAGCATTGACCCATCACCCTCTGAATTTTTTTAATCGAAAAAACTACCCCTAATCTGAAGAATCAAATTCAGGAGATAAAACAACAAAATAACTGATTGACAAATTTTATAAGCAGATATTTTTACTCCAGCAATGCAGAAACAAAGCCAGAAATGTTCCCTCACCCTCTAAATTTTTTTTAAATCGAAAAACCACCCTTAAATAGAAAAATTCAAATTTAAGAAGTAAAAAAATATTAAATTACCGGCTTTTTTTAAAAACAGAACCTTACATGTTTGTAGTTTTGCTCTACTAATTAAAAAAAATAAAGCCAGCATTGACCCATCACCCCCTGAATTTTTTTAATCGAAAAAACTACCCCTAATCTGAAGAATCAAATTCAGGAGGTAAAACAATAAAATAACTGATTAAAAAATTTTATAAGCAGATATTTTTACTCCAGCAATGCAGAAACAAAGCCAGAAATGCTCCCTCACCCTCTAAATTTTTTTTAAATCGAAAAAACCACCCTTAAATAGGAAAATTCAAATTTAAGAAGTAAAAAAATATTAAATTACCGGCTTTTTTTAAAAACAGAACCTTACATGTATGTAGTTTTGCTCTACTAACTCAAAAAAATAAAGCTAGCATTGATCCATCACCCTCTGAATTTTTTTAAATAAAAAAAACTACCCTTAATCTGAAGAATCAAACTTAGGAGGTAAAACAATAAAATAACTGATTAAAATTTTATAACTAGGTATTTTTACTCCAGCAATGCGGAAACATACCTGGCTGTAAAATTTTTCAATCAGTTATTATATTGTATTACCTCCTGAATTTGATTCTTCAGATTAGGGGTAGTTTTTTCGATTAAAAAAAATCAGAGGGTGCTGGATCAATGATGGCTTTATTTTTTTGAGTTAGTAGAGCAAAACTATAAACATGTAAGGTTCTGTTTTTAAAAAAAGCCGGTAATTTAATATTTTTTTACTTCTTAAATTTGAATTTTCCTATTTAAGGGTGGTTTTTTCGATTTAAAAAAATTTTAGAGGGTGAGGGAGCATTTCTGGCTTTGTTTCTGCCTTGCTGGAGTAAAAATACCTGGTTATAAAATTTTTTAATCAGTTATTTTATTGTTTTACCTCCTGAATTTGATTCTTCAGATTAGGGGTAGTTTTTTCGATTAAAAAAATTCAGGGGGTGGTGGGTCAATGCTGGCTTTATTTTTTTTAATTAGTTGAGCAAAACTACAAACATGTAAGGTTCTGTTTTTAAAAAAAGCCGGTAATTTAATATTTTTTTACTTCAAGTTTGAATTTTTCTATTTAAGGGTGGTTTTTTCGATTTAAAAAAATTTTAGAGGGTGAGGGAGCATTTCTGGCTTTGTTTCTGCATTGCTGGAGTAAAAATATCTGGTTATAAAATTTTTTAATCAGTTATTTTATTGTTTTACCTCCTGAATTTGATTCTTCAGATTAGGGGTAGTTTTTTCGATTAAAAAAATTCAGGGGGTGCTGGATCAATGCTGGCTCTGTTTTTGAGTTAGTGGAGCAAAGTTTCGTAGATGTAAAATTTGGTTTTTTTAAAAAATAAGTTGATTTATTTTTTATCTCCGAAGTGTCAATTTGTCCGTTTAAGGGTGGTTTTGGTCGATTTAAAAAAAACTGAGGGTGATGGAGCAATTCTGAGCTCAGATTCGGTTTCAGCGGGCCAAAATACTATAGGAAATATATGTGTAGTTCAAGAAACAGACAACTTTTTTTTTGTGTGCCTGTGTAATACAAAAACAATTTAATTAGTTTTATAAATGTCATTTAACTTTTAGCAATTCACATGGAAATATGCATAACAATAACAAAGTCGTAGTGCATAAAGCTCGTTCATTGGTTGCAAACGCTGTTACAAA